ACCAAGATAAATGCAAAGACCTGTTATGGATTTTCGGTCATCTAGATCACCTCCCCAATCAGAGTCAGAAAAGCCTGTAAGGGTTGTACTAGATACTTTTGTAAAATGAAGACCATGAGTGATGGTGCCTGCTAAGTACCTCAGAATCCGTTTGACAGCTTTAAGATGAGTGTCTAGAGGTGATTGCATATACTGGCAAACTTTATTAACACTGAAAGCAATTTCAGGTCGTGTGATAGTGGCATATTGTAAGGAACCAACAATGCTTCTGTAGGTTGAGACATCTGCAATTGGGGAGCCATTGGATTTGGACAAGATTGGTGAAGTTACCATTGGTGTGGATACTGATTTGGCTTCAAGCATGTTCATCTTAAGGAGAAGATCCTTAATATACTGAGCTTGGGAAAGAAAAAGTCCTGTGGGGGTTCTGTGAACTTCAATACCCAAAAAATGGTGTATTTCCCCCAGATTTTTAAGAGAGAAATGATGACCAAGTAGAGTGATAATGTGTTGTACTTCATTGTCATTAGATCCAGTGATTAAAATATCATCGATGTAGACAAGGAGCCATATAGTGGACTGAGGACCATGTTTGAAATAAAGGGAGTGATCTGAGGATGAATGTGTGAAACCAAGATTATGTAGAACCCCTTGGAGTTTAAGAAACCATGCTCGAGGGGCCTGCTTTAAGCCATACAAAGATTTATGAAGTTTACACACCAAGGATTCAGAGTGAGGAACTTCAAACCCAGGAGGTTGAGCCATATAAAGATCCTCCTCAATGGTGCCATGTAGAAAGGCATTGTTTATGTCTAATTGCCTCACTTTCCAGCTATAGTTGAGAGCAAGAGATAGAACAACTCTGATGGTTGTTGGCTTGACCACTGGACTAAATGTGTCTTGAAAGTCAATCCCTGCTGTTTGATTATATCCTCGTGCAACAAGTCTTGCTTTGTATCTAGCAATAGAGCCATCTGAGTTGTGTTTGATTCTGAAGACCCATTTGCAGCCAATGAGGGGTTTATGGCTAGGTAGAGAAACCAGAGACCAAGTTTTATTGGCTGTAAGAGCATGGAATTCAGAAAGCATGGCTTCCCTCCATTTTGGATGAGATAAAGCTTGCTGGAAGTCCTTTGGAGTGTTGTGATCAAGATCCTCAACAATAAAGGCTTTAGGTTTGAGACTACCTGTCCTTGATCTTGTGATCATGGGGTGAGTGTTTGCTGGAGCACCTGCAGGGTTAGTAATAACAGCAGGTATATACTCATTTTCAATAGGTAAATTCACTACTAAGGGGACAGTGGAATGGGAGGGTAAGCTTGTTGAGGAAGCTGAGCTTGAAGGGAGCTGAGTGGATGTGGTTGGAGAAGGAGTATGTTGAGTGTGTATATGAGAAGGAGTTGTATGCTGAGTGTTTGAGGTTGGGGATGGTGATGATGGTAGAGTAGTGGGTGGAGATGTTTGTGAGGGAGGTGTAGTGGTAGGAGTGATAACAGGTGGAGGATGAATAGGCATAAAAGGTTTGTTCTCATTAGTGGCTGTGGAGTGATTAGTAAAAAAGGGAAAGGATGATTCATCAAATACTATGTCTCTAGTGATGACCAGTTTGCCAGAAGGAAGAAGGGCTTTAAAGCCTTTATGTTTAGAGCTGTACCCCAAAAAGGTACTTGGCAAAGATCTTGGCTGAAGCTTGTGTTTATTATAAGGTCTGAGATTAGGAAAACAAAGGCACCCAAAAATCTTGAGATGAGAATAATCAGGTTTATGACCATGAAGCTTTTCAAGAGGAGAAATGAAATTAAGGCTCTTGACTGGTAATCTGTTGAGAATATGCACTGCAGTGCTGAAAGCATCATCCCAATAATGAAGGGGAACATGAGAGTGTGTAAGTAAGGAGAGGCCCATTTCAACTATTGTTCTATGCCTTCTTTCAGCAAGTCCATTTTGGGCAGGAGTGTAGGGACAAGAAACTTTGTGAACAATACCAGAAGCATGAAAAAGATCTGTGAGGGGCCTATATTCACCACCCCAGTCACTTTGGACTGCCTTGATTTTATGATTAAATTGGTTTTCAACTAGATTCTTGAAGTGAATGAAGGTATTATAAACTTCAGATTTTTGTTTAAGGAAATAGATCCAGGTGAACCGGGTAAAGTGATCAACAAAACACACATAGTAATGTGAACCAGATTTAGAAGTGATGGGAGATGGTCCCCATAGGTCTGTATGAATTAATTGAAAAGGTTTAGTATATACTGTGATGGAATCATTGTAAGGTAGTGCATGACTTTTAGCTTGCAAACAGGAAGAACAAACAAACTTCTCATTACTGGAAAATGGAACATTACAGTGTTTCATAACTTTTGCAACTACTTCAAAAGCAGCATGACCTAATCTAGAGTGCCACAAGTCTAGATTGGTAATTTTATTACAATAAGCCATAAAAGATCTTGGAAAGGACTGAGGGCATGAAGATGTGGTGGTAGGAGTGACTGTGGGTAAGGAGGTGTGGACATCAAACATGTAGAGACCATCTTTAAGGCATCCTTTGAGAAGAACTTGATGAGTGGAGAGATCCTTCACAAGGCAAAATTGAGGGTGAAATTCAAAAAACACCATATTATCTTTTGCAAATTGAGAAACACTTATCAAATTCTTAGTAATAGTAGGCACATGAAGGAGATTGTTAAGTAATAAAGGTTTGGTGCAAGAGTTGGTTTTAAGTAGTGAACTGCCTATATGAGAAATGAGCAAACCTGTGCCATTGCCAACTTGGAGCTTGTTGTGTCCATGAAATTCTGAGGCAAGATTTAAATTAGACAGCTCATTTGTGACATGACTCGAAGCACCTGAGTCAGCAAACCAGCCACATTCTGAGGCTCCATCACCATTTCCTGGGATTTGAGTGTTGCCAGTGGAGAAGGATTGAGTGGTCACTGTATTAGCTTGCATATTTGTTGGTCCTGGGTAGGAAGCATCAAAACGATGATAGCACTTATCAGCTGTATGGTTGGAGAGACCACAAACTTGGCAAGGGACTCTTGAGTTGTTCTTGAAACCTCTACCACCTCTTCCTCTTGGGTTGTTGTTTCTACCTCTGCCTCTTGAGGTGAATTGATTGCCTCTGAAAAAGGGTTGATTTGAAGGCCCTTTGTTCTGGTTGTTGGTGGCATTATGGCTGACCAGATGTGCAGTAGGGTTAGTGCCATCCATGTTGATAGAAGTGTGATTCATCTGACCTGAGAGCTCAAGCCTAGATTCTAGGCTGAGAAGCATGGCATACAACTCATTCAAGGAGTATGGCTCCACTCTTGTAGTGACTGCCACAACTGCAGCATTGTAGTCTGAGCTTAAGCCTCCCAAGATATGCAAAATGTGGTTTTGCTCAGATACCGGTTCACCAGCTGTGCCTAAGGCATCACAACATGATTTGACTTGGCTGAGAAATTCTCTCATGGAAAGATTGCCTTTCTTCAATGTTTGGAGTTGCAACTTGTGATGCATGAGCCTGGCTTTAGATTGCCCTGAGAAGTTGGACTCTAGGGATTGCCAGATCTCTTGAGAAGTGTTTTTCCCAACCATCATCACAAGCAGATTCTCTGAGAGAGATGAGAGTAACCAAGAAGCAAGCAATTGATCTTGTCTGACCCATGAAACATACTCTGGGTTTACTTGGATCTGTGCAGTATCTGAGGTGATGGTTTGTGGTGGTGATGTGCTTTCTTTGGAAATGAAGCTTTCCAGCCCATAGCCTTTAATGGCTGTCACGACCTGTTGTTTCCACAACAAAAAATTGCTGTCTGTTAGCTTAATGGAAACTAATTGGTGGTGAGGTTGAACCAGGCTGTTTTGAGTGATGTTGCTTGAAAGAGGGATAGATGTATGGCTTGAAGATGAACTTGCCATTTCAACGGGTCAAGAAAGCTCAGGTATAATAAATGCTAATCAGAAAAGGATGGAGGGTAATAAATGATAAGGACAAGCTCTGAAAATGACAAAAGATAAGATAAGGATTATTGATGGTGACTCAGGCTCAGGTTAAGATCCTGAGCTCTGATACCATGACAGAAATGGAGGTGCATCGGCCATTGAACAAAGCTTGACAAGAAAGCTATTCATGAAAAGAGCAAAAAATGATTTTCATTGATTGTGGCAAATCAGAGAGTACGATATTTATACACATAAGATGCTGTAAAACCCTAATTAGCTACCAAAGAAAATAGGGCACGTGTATGAAGTACATGCACACTAAAAGCCAAAAGAACGGCTACAAGGAGTGCTCCCATAGTACGTGAGTAACAGAAAGATGCTCTGGAGCTAAAGCATAATATGGGAATTATTTTACTGCTCCAATAATAACTTACATAATAATCTATCTAAATACTTAACTAACACAACTAAAATTAACTACTCCCGCTCATATACTTCATCGAGTCCGAATGCTCAGTTCGCATCACAATACTACAACGTGAGTTTTGATTTGGATGGGATGAGGATTAGTTTCCAGAGGATGTACTGCAAGTTGCTTGAGGATGATTGATTGGTTTGGTCGTCAGTAGTGATGTGTTGTTTGTTTGATCGGTTCAATTTTTACATATCGAGAGTTGATCCAGACAAATTTATATAAGGTGTCTTATTTGTATTTATAAATGGATTCAGCTGTATCTGAAATTCACCTGCTAAAATTTCATTTCAAAACAAAATGTAATACACATGAAATTCATGATATCGATTTTTTCTTTTTCTTTTTTTTTTTTAAAATTATTATTATTATATAGATTTCAATTGTGTTGGGAACAATGCTGTTATGCTTGTTAGATAGGAGATTGTTAAGATCTAACACGCTCACTTTGTTGATGATATCTTTTTGCCCTCCTTATCAATATAAATCTGCATCTTGCTCCATCATCATATGTCACAACCAAGAACAAACAGAAGTTGCACCCATGATGACGAATTCCATGAATTCACTCAAATGGCTTTTTTGCATTCTAGCTTCCATGTTTCTAACTCTCGAGGCCCGACGTTATTCTTTCCCAACAGCGGAACCCATAATTAACCCCTCAAAGAGTACGACTAAACTAATCCTCCCACTCATCCACCGTGGTGCTATTTTACGCCCATTTCCAAATATCATCACCTCAAGTTTAACAAATCAGGCAAACATCGACATCAGGAGCCTGCTAATTCCAGACCAAGAAGCCATGGGTTTCCTAGTAAACATATCGATAGGCGAGCCTCCGGTTCCGCAGCTCCTGTCCCTGGACTCGGGGAGTTCCCTAACATGGGTACAACCCCTCATGTGCAGGGGTTGCACCCCTGCCCAAGGCCCCATCTACGACCCTGGGGCCTCCTCCACGTACAAACCCCTCTCCTGCACCTCCTTATCCCAATGCACGCAATACTCGGACTTCTCCACATGCCGGCAGGACTCCCGGTGCACCTTCTCCGTAAATTACCTGGATACCTCCCACTCGGCCGGCGTTCTCGCCCTTGAGAAGTTCACGTTCGTCACCTCCGAGGGGGGCGCATCCGTAATTTCGGACCTCGCGTTCGGGTACGGGCATGAAAGCAGCGGAAACCTGCAACGAGAGACCGGGATTCTCGGCCTCCAAGTCCTGAATGAGCACTCGCTCGTGTCCCGACTGGGCAACAGGTTCTCGTACTGCTTCGGTAACATTAGCGATCCCAATTACCCATACAGTCGCCTGGCCCTCGGCTCGGGTGCTGTAATCGAAGGTTTCTCGACACCACTGAGATTTTTGCAGGGCCACTATGCGGTGGGCTTGAGGGGGATCAGCATGGGCGGGAAAAATCTAGATATATTTAAGGGGCATGGTTTTGAGTATCAGATGCTGGTTGACTCGGGGTCTACATTGATTAGCCTGGAGAGGGGTGCGTATGAGGAGGTGAGTGGGGCAGTTGGGGAGCTGTTGGACGAGCGGTTGAGCCGTTATCGCGCAGACATGTTGTGTTATTGGGGTGATTTGAGACGGGATCTCGAGGGTTTCCCGCTCGTGACTCTGCTGTTGGAGGAGGGGGCCGAGGTTTATCTTGGAGTAGAGAGTATTTTCCGGCGACAGAATGACGGGGTGTTTTGCCTGGCCATGGAGGTTGCTTCAGCGGGGATTAATATAATTGGGGCGTATGCTCAGCAGTATTATAATGTTGGGTTTGATTTGGATGCAAAGAGGGTTACCTTCATGAGCACCGAGTGTGAGCTGCTTGATGACTGACTTGTGTTGCTATCTGATGGTATTTAGAATAAATGTCTTATGATTTGTGAGGGTAAGTAATATATATGGTTGAAATAAAATTTAAATGTTTAACAGGATAGTTAATATAATTTGCAACGTTGGGAGGAATGCTTTTCATTGTAAAGCACTTTATATTTTTATTTGTTTTGTTACACACAAATTGATCAACCAAGGCTCCTATTTATAGAACCACTCGGTCCGTGGATTTTTCTTGACCAACATAAAGTTTCTAAATTTTTGTTACATAATTATATACTACAAGAAATTTAAGAAAAAAATAACGATAAAATTCGTCATGTAAACCTTGTTTTTCGTCACAAAAGTAAATCGATGACGAAATTTTATCGTCACAGAGATCGTCACCGTAGCCGCGTCATATTAGGTCTAAGTGACAAATTTTGAAGTTGTCACCAAATATTTTACTTTTAGTGACATTTATAACTATCGTCATGTTATTTGGTCATCTTTCATGACGATAATATCGTCACGTTTATTATGATAATTTTGTCATGTAAACGATTATTTTGTCATAAAAAGATAAGTTTTAGATGACGAAAACTGAACTTTGTCATCTAAATATTATTTTTTAATGACAAATTTTTGTATTATATCTATTTATAGATTTTTAGTGACGAATATCTTTGTGGTGTTTTCGTTATAAAAATCATCATATTTCATATAATTCGTCTTGAAATATTTATTTATAATTATAAAATATTGGTCGTCATAGAAAGAATTTAAATATGACGATAACAAAAATGTCACAAAGAAAAAGAAATAGTGATGAAATATTCATTGTCTCCAAAAACATACAAAATCCACAAATTCTTTTGTCATAAAATTATTAGCTCTATGATGACAATATAAGTTGGGGAAATTTTCACTCTTCCAGTAAGAATTGCAAGATAATGCATTTTAACAAGTGGAACAAATTAAATTGCATCTATACCTAAAACTTAGGATTTTATTAGAATTGTACCTCATATAAATAACCATACAAATAAAACGTTCAATCCTTAATTATCACCGACTCATAAGAGAGAGAAATGAAAATAAATAACTTATTCAATTTAATTCCTTAATTTGTCCAACTAGAATTCTTTAATTCACGCAGCTGTCAGGTAGTATATATTGGGTCTATGTTAGTATATATTTAGTATATGTGCGCAGTTGCAATTCCTTAGTTCACGCAATGT